TTGCTTCCTTGCTTCCTTGCTTCCTTCATTCCTTCCTTGCTTCCTTAGATTATCCTTTTTATTTTTATTTATTTTTCTTCGCAATGAAAAGAAGATACATCACAATGGTCATGACTCATCATCAAACATTCTTACTCCCTAAGTGAGATGTTTGAACTTTGGATACATTTCTTAAAATTAAGATCTTTGTAATTGCCCATCCTTTGGCATTTAACCCATAGACTGATTACAGCTAGTAATGTCAACATTAATCCGCATTAGGGTGATAATATACCATCAGATTACATACCCATATGGCATCGTTTGATGGTGCATATCTCTTCCTCTTTCGCCTCTCCTTTACATGGTTTACCATACTTAGAAGGAGCAGGGTTGTTACACTGCCTTGTTCGGCTTCGCACTCCATCATCGCAACTAGCACTGCATGCAGTCCATGCACCCCAGTTACCCCAGTGACCACTGATTGAATTTCGTGCTGGAAAAAGGTTATGCCATTGATAATTGTCGTATTTACATACACAAAGATAATTGGGCGACGTTGGCGTGAGAGTCGTGACGATGCCGGATAAATTTGAATCCGCAACTTTCACACTGAAACCGAAAAAAACGTTTTCGAATTCCGTCCACAAATGAAAACATCTGAGCATGCGCATCGAAGCTGAAATTGAACCCGTGGTGAATCGTTAGCTTTTCCGCAAAGTTTCCATGTCAATCATGACGTCATCTAAGTTCCGGATGCGAAATGTTCTCCGTACACATTTATACGGCTAGCCGTCGTTTTCACATTGTTCCGCTCTGGAGACCGTATTCGAAAAGTTCCGTTTTCGGTGAAGAATTGTTCCGGATTCGTCCGGACTGGTGTGGACGGAAGGGCTAACCGAATTAATAAAGTTGCGGATTCAAATTTATCTGGCATAGTGTGGACGGGGCCTAAGACAAAATTTGTTTCATCGGTCCTGCCTCATTGCTTACATGATGAGAAGCTGGTGATTACGGCTGAAACATATGCGCTTGGATGGTTAGATTCCATCCGAACTAGATTTCGTTCAGCTAGCTCGTAAATTTATCCAACGGATTAATCCTTATCTAATGGATGAGTGATGCTGTTATCCAATAGATTTATCCACTGAATAAGATTTCTCCGTCGGATAGCGCTATTCGCCCTTTGTGCAACCAGGCCCAGGGGATTAAATCACGGACTCATGTAAATTTATTAAAGATCTAATAATAATGTTTTCTTTGAAGCACTTTTCGCAATCTTAGCTGCTTCATTATCGTCGTCGTCGATGTTGACACCACCGTCACCATTCAGATTTTTCATGGATATCAAACAATACCTACCTAAGCACTCCATTCGGGTACACTTTTTGGAATCTTTTTCTATGCCATAAACATTAACGTTGCCTCCACAGCTTTTAGGATCCCCACTATGGAAGCAGTAGCGTTCTCTTGACTTGAAACAATTTTTATCACATGATGTAAAATCAGACCACTTGGTCCAACCTAATTTCTTAGCTGAAAACAAACATGTAAACAAACGTGTATGTTTTTAAAAATATCAGCTATCATGGAGGACGCTACAACCGAGAACAAATTCACCTTTGAAATATAAATTCTTCGGTTTGGGGTAATGTTTTCCCATTTCAGACCACGTGCCATTCCCTTGAGAATAAGATTCTTTGTTTGAGCTGTATCCATATTCATGTGTCTTCTCATGTGCAACCGAGCGCAAATCTTAATTAAAGAAATGATACTCTAGGGAATGACATGTGGTCTGAAATGGGGAAACATTACCCCAAACCGAAGAGGTCTATTGAAGCTCTTATCGGCAGCTAGCGCTTAAAGCTATTAGGACTAAAAATCTAAAAGGGCTTGGCAGAAGCTATCTCCAAAGCAATTAGTCCTTTAATGAACCGACATTTCAGACTTGTGCGCAAGATCATAGATTCAAGGACTTACTTTTACAGTCATACAGAGCGTTGATTTCAATAATATCTGCTTCACTTAAGCGATGATTCTGCGTTCCAAATTTTTTATTTTCGTTGCCAATGGCAACAATGGTAGGCTTTCCGTTTTTGGTGAATGCTGTGCGATCGTAGTGCATGATGGATTCGTAATCATATAATTGTCCCATTGCGTCGATAGAATTCCAGTCGTACTTGGAAAATTGGTCATCGAACCCTGAACATAGGCAAAACCGTCTAAGTTAGTTAAAAATAAAGAGATCGAGGAAGGAGCTCTTAGAAAAACACGGAAATTTCCTATATATATAAACAAAAATAAAAAATATGTAAATAAGTAAATAAATATGTAAATAAATAGAAAACATATAGCAATGGTAATGGTGTGAGTTATACCTGTTTGGATATTCTCCCATTTGACGGACACAAATTTATCGCGGTCTGCACGAGCCTGTTCGTGCCAAAAACCTGGAGAAAATAAACGTGTAGAAATTATTTATCAAGAATCCATGCAGTGACTACGACCTAGTCATAGGTATATTACTGTTCAATGTATTTCAACAATAATTAAAGAGAAATAACTTATACCATCATTGGTGAGGCCAAAGGCTTATGGGGCATTACAGGATAATTATATTACAAGCAGCTTATATCACCTAAAGCATGTAACAGTTCGTGTATAATGGTGCCAGGGAAGTTGCATCCACTACCAAGAGAGATGGGCTGGCCAACAGGTGCAACGTAATGCCTCCCTATCTTAGAAGAGCATCTGAGTAACACAGAACACAAAAACAATTCTTAATATTAATTTGATATGTGTAAGGTACGAAGGTAAATCGAGAAGATCATAGTTTCAACGAAATTTGAAGCCAGATTTTTACCCAGTATTCCTATTGAAGTAGATATGGTTTCCATGTACACCAGGCTGATAAGGTACGAAACGAAGACATGTGTGTTTGTGGTACTCCGCGAAAGCAATGAACAGGTTTTTCTTGATATGCACTGCAAAAMAAAATTAATACGGCGAAGGAGTAAATTTTAAATGCCTATACTAAATGACAAAAAATACATCATAAACCTTTCCAGGAGACGCTCCATGCAGGGGATTTGTTTGGTCCCCCTGTGCTCTTATGAGATCCTTAGCTTGTCTATTCTATCGAATTATACTTACTCATATCAGGTGTGAGTTTGTAGGGGATTATCCTTGATTGCCACAGTCGTTTTCTCGATCGAATGGCATTTCTTTTCGTTCTTGTTCGGTTTGGTAAATGAAGGAGTTTCTCAAGATCTTCATCTTCAATGATATCTCCTTGGTAAAGGCCTTCTATTTTCTTGCCTGTGCATTTAATGTCAAGAGTCAGTGCGGGTATATAGTTTTCTTAATAATTTACACTTAATTATTTATTTAGCAAGATTTTGATTAAGAGAAAGATATTTCCTTCCAAGATGGCTTTTAAAAATAGACCAAGGGCATTGAATATTTTCCCATTTCAAATTAATACATAGCCCTGAGAGAAATGTGTAAATCTAGAGAGGAGAGCCAGGGGACAACATTTCCATTCGATCTGCTAGTTAGCCATGCCCTGACTTAGATCAGCCCAGAGGTTGTTTTAGGGTTTGATCCGCTTGTTAGCCATGCCCTGACTTATATTAGCCCAGCGGTTGATTCCTTGTTCAATCTGTGAGTTAGCCATGTCCGGACTTTGATCAGTCAAGAGGTTGTTTCAGGCTTTGATCTGCTAGTAACTAGCCATATGCTCTGGATGATCAGTCCAGAGATTGTTTATGTATTTAATTAAATTTGAAGGATTTAAAATCTAAACAAGAGCTGAGAATCAGCATGAAAAGAATGCTAACTAACTGTAGTGACTCGACGCCATATCTAGATCAACTATTTATTATTCACAACTTAGCTAATTATCATACATGATTAGTTGCTATGGATACTACATCTCTCCCTTTCTTCCAAATGTCCATGTGTCTTTCGTATGATTACTGAATTATATAACCTAATTATTATCATTGCTAAATACTGTTTTCTTTTTTTCTTTTTTTTTTTTCATGTTCAAGTACAATAAACTCAACTATAACAATGTTCCATGTCCTCTATCCCTAAGGGTACATATAGTAGTCTTCAAACTTCTTGGGTCTTCGTCTTTCCCTTCTTGGTCGGCTTGCTTTCTCTCCTTCATCTTGTGGTTTTTCTCTTTCCACTCGCTCTTCGGTTTTCTCCTGTTTAACTTCAGTCATCTTTGATGATTTCTCCTTCAGCTCCGCTTGTTTCTTTTCGTTGTTCGGTGGTTTCTTCCGATCCTCATGACTTTTGGTTTCCCTCAGAGTTCTCTCTCTAGGGTCTTCCTGCTTGGTGTCTGTTGTCTCCTTCGGTTCTTCCTGGCTTGGTCCAACCGTTTCTGTTTCATCTGCTGTGTTGATGACAGTGTTGACTAGTTTGAAGTAACTTGCGTCCCGACAAACTGTGCGTCCATCTGTTGTTCTTCTTGCTGTTATCTTGGATCCTTGAATATCGCAGATTGTATAGAATATGGGTTCATATGGTTGCTCCATTTGTTTTTCTTCTCTTGTTTGACTAACACGTAGTCTCCGAGTAGCAGTCTCTTTTCCTTTGTTCGATTGTTTTCTCTCTGCACTTTCATCTTCTCCTTGTATCTTGCGTCGTTCTTGTTTATCTGTTCGTCTTCTTCTGATGTCTGTTTGTTGGGTGCTAT